GTTAATAACTAAGTGAATTGTGATTGAAATGTCTAAGGACAATTCATTCCTGTGGTCGATCATTTAGTGAGGTTATAGGGATGCTTATTTTTAAGCAGTCTTATAATTGAATATCATAGCAATTAGGTACTATCTAGTTTTCTATGATATTTCAACTGTCATCAGTTCATGATTGAGACATCCCATTCATTGATATTATTAATCAATTGATGAAGTAGTGAAACTTCATCAGTTGAGATGGCTGGAACACGTGTTACGTATGCCCAACCACCGATTGCCTCGACCTGCGATGTTCAGTGGTATAGGAGTAGATTGGAAGAAAGCAAGGGGCGACCGAACCAGAACATGGCAGAAGTCCATGAAGTCACTGACAAGTGGATTGAGCCATGTTGGTAGGTGTAGACTACGTGGTTGGGATCCGCGAGATGATAGCAACCGATGGTTGGAAACCCTAAGTGACATGGCTCAAAATCGTTTGCGATGGTGCATGTACATCCACCCTTTGTGTTCTCCCAAATCCTAATCTTCTGAATTCTTCGTGTCCCTTTGTTTACTATTTCCAAATTTATTTCACTGGATTATACTGATTGAATAACATCTTCAAACCCTAATGTTTCCGATTACTGTTTATACTCTTACTACCTCTATCATTGTGGGATTTGAATTGACAATCGTGTCTCTGTTCTAATGTAGTATGGCATCTCTAACTGATGTACATACGTACGAAGTTCTGCGTTGTTACTGACTGACTGACGACTGTTCACTATCAAACAATATAATTGAGAATCTGTAGGAACGTGTCATTTCAGTAATAATACACATGATATAAATCTTTGTTTATTACTTATAATACATTCATTCGTATAACTGATAAACTGAATTTAGAAAACTTGATTGTACGTATGATTCCAGTAAGATTTGAAATACTGATAATATTCTCAGGACATCTATGGGCTGTTTCAAACGATAAATGATAACGGAGTTATGATGTAAATGTATTATTAGAACTTTCGTGATATTTTAAAGTTAGGTAACTTTTATACACACTGGAAATTGTAAACATAAAACTTTGATTAAACTAAGTATTATTATTATTATTTAAACACATAATCATTGGTACAAGGAGGCACCAAATAGATATGCGCCACATAAATTATTCGATTTGTTTGAGGGCTGTGTTACTTCCCAGGTGACTAAACTGAAGCAGGTAGTTTTCCTAGGAGGGGGGGCACACCCGGAACATTCAACCTAAATGTCTGATCCACAAAGCAATGATAACCAGTGACAAATAATTGGTTCATACATCATTTGTTCCTTCAGAATACTGGAGCCTATGTGCACCATTGATTTGGAATCAATGTTTTCCAAATCCCTTAGATAAACTCTCCGTGTTCATTAACTTCCTCGCCGCAAGAAGGCAGTGTTCACATAAATTCCCTATCTATGAAAGAATAACTACTCCTTACCATTTAGCTTATTATTTTCAAGTTACATTGAATCTCAATTCAATAATTTATTAGATGAATGACAGATTGATTAGAAGAAAAGCATATTCTTTAATAATAAAATATAAGATGTGTTTAGTGGATATCATAGAAATTTCAATGGTTAAGATCATGGGTCAGTTGAAGCTAAACCAACATGGGTCACGTGGAAGCACTTGATGGCCGTTTCGTCCTATTGTTGGACTCCTCAGCATTTCGCATCAACGACCTCGTCACCTGCAAGATTCGAACCCAGGATCTACTAGTCTCGCGCGCGAGCATTTAACCACTAGACCACCGAGTCGGCTGGCATCCAACAGTGTTAATGTCTAACTTCAACTAATCCACGAAATTGGGCGACACATCCACCATTGTCTTCAGTGAGTTACTATCTCACAACAGACCTGGTTGAAGTCCACTGATCACTACTTCTCACTAGAACTCCAGGATATACTTCTTGAAGCTAGTTGATAAGTCTTGTCGATTGAACGCTATATTCGTTTCTCAAGTTATTCTGGTAACCCACAAGCCAGAACTACACAGCCACCTGAACAACAGAGAGAAGACGCAAAGTATAAGAGAAACACTTTACTCCAAGGTTCGTTCTTGTACAGAAAATCATGGGTATTTATAGATGTTAGCGTTTTTTAAATCAATGTCATATTTCGGCCAATCCGTTAACGACATATTGTGCTCTTGACCAATAGTAACACGCCACGTTGGAATTCTAGAATGCTCCATCATGCTCTGATTGGCTAGGGCTCTTCGGCTCCTTTTGAACCTCTGGAGGCTCCGCTGAAGTTCTCCGAAAGCCAAATCAACACTAGTCACTAGTGAGCACATGTTTCTAGCTTCAATTGACTTAATACAACAACAAAAAAAATGAAAAAAAATTTTTCTTCAATTAAGTAGTTTGTTTGTTTTCGTTTTCAATTTTTTTTTCATTTTTTTTTAGGTGAATGTTGATTGAATTTGACAAGTTGAAATGATAATTAATATCCTTTAATACTTTATTATTAGTGACTAAACTGAGTTATATATGCATATACACAAACAATATAGGTCAAGTTATAAATTACTCTGAATTATCAGTAGTTTAGTTTGTTTTTTTGAAAAGAGATTTAGTAGAGATTCATTCAATTTGTAGGTTATTTAATAAGATTATAATTTATGGACGACATTTGAGAGAGTCTAAAATGACTTTGAAAGGGTCCATCTAATATAACTAAAATCAAATGAGGGTTATAAACCAGTGTGTGAGGAATTAAAATTATGATTTACAGTTGATGATTATGGTTAGCAATTAGATCTACGGGGGTTTTTATCACGAACTAACAATAGCTATAATGCCAAAACTCTATTTATCCAAATGGATAAGTGAATTTCGTGCCATTATTATCTTACATCTGATTGGTTCGTTCATAAATTATAGTCTCGCCGGTTGTTTTAGTCAGATATTGATCCAACTTGGGATATTATTAAAAAACATGAAGTACTGGTGTTGGGATATTCAGGAAAATATCCCAAAAATTATCCTATTAAGCCTAATGCTATCCTTGGACATGAAATGGTATCATCTAATTGATCAATATTTATTTAACGTGTCATTTTCCTACTGGCCATTATTGTACAATGTTATTTTCTATTTTATGGTACGTTGTGGTCTGCTTGACTGATATATAAACAAAGTATGTTTGAAATATAATGATTCATATCTCCGAGGCTGAAACTTGTGTTCTGGACTCAACTGGCTGGTTTAGTCAGGGAAGCGAGACCAATCAGAACCCTAGGTCGTTCTAAGTGTTTGTGCGTCTTTGGTCCGATCAATAATTCGCTACCCTCTAATCTGCCGTCACAGTTATAACAACTGGACAGTTGTTTCATTCTTGTATATAACTCTTAGCCAATGCTTATGCAACAACTCTGTCAAAGGTTTTACTCAGGAACCCCAGTTACCATAGACGAAGTTTAATCAGTTTGACCGTGTTCTATTTGATCGATTTGTGACTCCTAATGCTACTGTCACTACTACTTCTACTACTGCCACGAAGGAATTTCGTGCTTATCATTAAACAAACAAAATATTCTTTATTTGAGGTAGTTTGTTTGATGAATATTGATTTGATTTGTATGTGATCTTTCTCATGAACAGATATCATTTGGGTTTACTAATGGAAAGCCATGGAAATATAAACAGAACAGAAGAGTATCATTCAACACTTTGTATGTTTTTTTATTTCCCATAGGAACATGAATTCATATTAACAAGATTATGTATATTGTAGATGAATGATAATATTTGTTTTGATGACAAAACTTACTTACTTACACCTGTTACTCCTCGTGAAGGAGCATAGGCCGCTCACCAGCATTCTCCATTCAACCCTGTCCTGGATAATCCTTTCCAGCTCCTTCCAGTTGTTATTCATCCTTTTCATATCTGATTCTATTTCCCGGCGTAATGTGTTCTTTGATCTTCCTCTTTTTTGCTTCCCTTCAGAACTCCAAGTTAGGGCTAGTCTCGTGATGCAGTTTGATGGTTTCCGTAATGTATATCCTATCCATTTCCATTGTCTTTTCCTAATTTCCTCTTCATCTGGAAGCTGGTTTGTTCTCTCCCACAGAAGGCTGTTGCTGATGGTATCCGGCCAATAGATGTTGAGTATCTTGCGTAGACAACTATTTATAAATAATTGTACCTTCTTGAGGATAGTTGTTGTAGTTCTCGATAGTAGTTCTCCGTACATACAGTAGAACTGCCTTGAAGTTCGTATTGAAGATTCTGACTTTGATATTGGTTGATGACAAAAGCAGATAATCAAATAATTCAGTTTATAAACAGAATTAGTTCATTAAAACAAATTTGAAATAAATAGAAAACTCGTTATAATATTCTCATATTTTAAAGATTAAGTATCCTAGATGGCGTAATTAATCTATGAAAATCTTAAGAAGTTTAGTCAGTATCTTAATTTAAAATGTCGGTTAAAAACAATGATGGATAGTGGATAGCAGTGGAATCCAAGATGCGCGTATCGTCTTATTTGCGACTCGTTAGCTTGTGACTTAAAGTAATATTGAGGCAGTCCCCACAGGATGCACATATGCTAACAAGTGACAATGGAAAGATACAAGTAAATAATACCAAGTGAATTTAAACTTCACCACATTGCCACAAATGAGTAGCTATCAGGACTCATTCGTCAAGTGGATAATGCGATGGTGTTTGAAGTGAACGGTATTGAGTTCGAATCTCGTAGTGAACATCAACTCTGAGATGCAAGTACATCACTTTCTGGATTACCCTGCTAGTTAATATCCGTCTTTGCTTATAAAGCTTGTGACTCAAGACAATATCGTGGCAGTTCGCACAGGATACACCCATACCAATAAGAGATTGATCAATTGTAGTGCTAAACGTCAATAGTAAGATCCAAGTGAATTTGATTTGATAATTGATTAACTTTAATTCAAACAATTATATCCTTTTTTTTCATTATTTTGTTGACATTTTAGTTACTTCTTATCGGTGATTCATGTGTTGGCAAAACTTCATTATTAATCCGTTTTAAAGATGGTATATTCATAAAGGGTAGTTATATTTCAACTGTTGGAATTGATTACAAGGTAAAGAAGTTTAATGTATTTTACTGTCATGATTACTGTTTTAAAATGGGTCTACATGTGTTAAAGAAGTAAATTAACATCAAGTACTTAATATTCAACAGTTGTCATGAAATGTCATGAGTGTTGTGATTGACTCTATCAATATTCATAACTGTAAACTAGAACTTCAAAAACTCTCCTTCTCTTCGCCCACAATGAAAGTCCATAATGAACATAAGATTATTAATAAACTATGTGCTTTCATAGATGTTTATCATTATTACTTACTTACTTACTTACTTACTTATTTACTCATGTTACTCCCAATCGAGCATTCTATAACCCACTCTATCCTGGGCCTTTTTTTTCTAGTTCTATCCAACTGTTATTCATTCTTCTCATGTCTGTCTCCATTTCTCGACGTAATATATTCTTTGGTCTTCCTCTCTTCCTTTGATTTTAAGAATTTCAAATGAGAGCTTCAAGTGTGACACAGTTGACTGTTTTCCTCAATGTATGTTCTATCCACTTTCTGTGCTTCTTCCTGATTACTTCCTCTGTTGAAATCTGGTTTGTTCTCTCCTACAGTAAGTTGTTGCTGATAATGTCTGACCAATGGATCCGAAGTATTTCGCGTAGACAACTGTCTCCACCCCATACATTAGAACTGCCTTGACATTATTGTTATTATCTAGATGGAATCACATTTATTGCTGCATACATACATCGTACTACATTGAACTAATAATCAATTTCAATTTATAATAGACTTGTATTGAACAACATAATCTCATGAGAATAAACATAACCAGTTGATCAATGTATCATCATTTAATCTGATCATAATAAACTCTCAATTGAGTAAATACAACCCTTCTCCACCACCACCACCACCACCCCCTCTGCAAAAAAAACAAACGAACAGGCAAACTAGACGAAATTCATAGAAAGCTCATCACCATCATCATCATCATCATAAAAAGAAGTCAGTAAACAGTCGAAAATGATAGTCCATTAAACTGTCACATTGATTGTTACATGTTAATTTATAATTGTTTATCCTATCAATACAACACACATATGAAATCATATATGTATATATATTTTTCTTCAAATTGTTGACACTAAACAATTTTGTGACCCGGTATCTAATTCCAGTTTGATTGTATGAATGGTTACTATGACAATATATATGTTGCCAATGCTTGTATATTATCATCGACTTAAATTGCATCAGCCACTGACATGTGGATTGAGCCATGTTGGCAGGTGTAGACTACCTGGTTAGGATCCGCAAGATGATAGCGACTGATGGTTAGAGATATTGAATGTCATGGCTTAAAATTGTTTTCAATGGCACAGGTGCATCCACTCTTTGTGTTCTCCCAAATTCGAATCTTCTAAATTCTTTGTGTCCTTTCTTTTCTCTTTCGAAATTTATTTCACTGGATTATACATCTTGAATAAGATCTTCAAACCCTAATTTTTCTGATTACTGCCTATACTTTTACTACCTCTACCACTATGGGATTTCAGTCGACAATTGTATCTCTATGGTAATGTGGTATGGAAACTTGAACTGATGTACGTACGTACGAAGTTATACGTTGTTGCTGACTGAGTGTATAACGGAATTAAATTAATCGTGAAAATACGAGAATGGATATTTGAAGATGTATATTTTGTACAATCGTTGATCGGAACAATACAATCAAAGAGACATTGCGAAGGAAGCGAAGACAAGAGAACGAAACAATATAGTGCGTAATCGAGATAGCACGTAAACGTAGGGTAAGATGTACACATATATGTATATATACACTCAGTCAAGATTAACAAGGTCAGAACGTGATTCAAGAAGAATCGATAAATTGGCCGATCCAAAAGCGAGAATAAGTTTTGTAGGCTTAACATAGTAACCGACACTAGAAATATACTTTGATATCATAATTATTACAATTTTCTTTTATAGCATCAGACAATTGAAATCAGCCAGACATTGAATCATTAAATTTCAAAGTTAGATTCACGAGTTAAGATAAATATTGAAAACTTAGAAGCATTGAGAAGTTCCATATTAAGACGAATCATTTCTTCAATGCATCATACTTTTTAATAATAGTCTAGATTAGATTAACTTGTGAATTCAACTTTGAAAATACTACCATTGATAGTTCACCCCTTGATTAGTCCTCTTTGAGCGGATATCTATATTGATAAGTTAACTCTATTTAAAAAAAAATAATTACTAACAGTGAATTCAAGAAACAACATTACAGATCGATAAGCAGATGCTTCATCCTAGTATATGACTCCTTCATGGTGGTCATTCACAACCTCTTCATTAACAGAACCCTTGGAATTCAACACACAGATGTTATTTAATATATCACTGAACAACAGAAACTCTCAAATGCGATGGATAGTCTGGTACATCCATCCTCTTTCATTGTTTTTCGTCATCTCATAACCGATCATTCTTTATAAATCAATTACATGTTTCACATTAGTCAATTTGCTTCACTAATGATTCGAAGAAGATTTCCACATGTCTACCAAAGAAGGAGATAACACATAGTTACTCAAAATAGTTTCATTCTTCACATTTACATAAAATCTATAATTGAATGTATTCAGTTGCTATATGCAATAGGTGCTAAGTACCATACATATGTTTTATACAATAACAACATTTGTAATACATATATATTAGAGGGGTGGTTTCAAGCGAAAAAAGTCGCATTATTCGATACATTTTTAGCTTGTTATGGTTTGAATTGAATCTATCTCCATGGCAGGCGGGCCCCCAAATGCCCTGGTACGGCCGAGAGTGAAGAGAATCAGCTCTCCCTCTCCAAATGCTCTCACATAGGTACGCGTATATAGCCTCTGCCAAGGAAGTCCTACTCACTACCTTCCCGCAGTATTACTTTTGTTTACGAAATTGAGAAGACGAAAAGCGAATGTCCGGCGCATTAACCGAGTTGGTGGATACAGAGAGTCAACCAACGGGAGTTGGAAAACCCTGATTCCAAACCAATGGTGCACATGGGCTCCAGTATCCTGAAAGAACAAATGGCGTATGAACTATTTGTTGGTCACCGGTTATCATAGGACTGCTTCCCCTGACTTTGCTCCACTGCCTTGTAGATCAGACCTTCAGGTCGAAGGCTCGAAGAGTGACCCCCTAAGAAAACCACCTGCTTTGGTTTGGGCACCCGGGCAGTAGTATCACAGCCCTCACACATATCAAATGAGATTTGTGTGGCGCATATCTACTTGATGCCTCTTTGTACCAATATCTATGTGCTAAAATCAATAAATCATAAATATCTCCATGGACATATATACATTTCGAATAGATTACTTGTATAGTACCGTTTAGTTACAAGTTTTTTTCATATATGAAAATTGAATAGCTACTAATCAACCTCAATATAAGCTAATCTTCTTATTACTTATATTAAATAGTTTATTTCAATGTTTTGTAGACAAAAACAGTAAAAGCTAATGATCAATTAGTTCGTTTACAAATATGGGATACAGCTGGACAAGAGAAATTTCGTAGTTTAACAAAATCATATTATCGTGATACTAATGGTAAGTAATAATTTAATGGCAAGATTATAATTTATAAATGAATATAAATCAGGTTTAAGACAAACCAAAACGTGGCATCAGTGCTTGAAGACACTAACTTCTAGTCTGAGCCATGTTGGTAGATGCAGACTACTTGGTTGGGGTCCGCGTGACTTTCGTAACCAATGGTTGGAGACTCTTGGTGACATGGCTCAGAATCGATCACAATGGCGTCGGTGTATACACTCTCTGTCTTCCCTTAAACTATGAGATTAAAATCACTTCATATCTTTCTTTCTACGAACCAATTCTTTCTTCCTGTACCATATCCTTATTGCAATCTTTCTCTTATATATTACCACCTTTGACCTAACCACTGCTGTGAATCCGGTGTTCATCTTGTTGTGCTGATGCGGTATGGCAACCTGGACCGATGCACATATGTGCCTGGTCCTACGTTGTAGCTGACTGACTGACTGATAAGACAATGGGTCTCGAATTTTGGCATGAAATTCATTCATCCATTTGGATAAATAGAGTTTTGGCATTATAGGTGATGCCAGTTTGGAATGAAAACCCCCTAAATCTAATTCCTAATCCTTAACCATCAACTGTAAATCATAATTCTAGTTCCTCAAACAGGTTTATAACCCTCATTCGGTCTTGGTTATTAAGTGGGCACTATCAAGGTCAGTCTAGCGTCGCTGAAAGGTCGTCCATAAAGTATAGTCTCATCGACAGTACTTCTGAATAAGTTGGTTGTTCATTTATTTACTGAATGGAACAATAAAGATTCCATTTTCAACATTTTTATTCATCAATAATTGTGTACTATACATGTGTTGGTGATTTAGTGAAATTTCGGGTTTAAAATATCATCTTCAATGGAGGTTACATTCTAATACACAGTAATAAAATATTGACAGAGTGGAAAAGTAAGTCTAAAATATTAGGTACATTATACTTTAATAATTGAATTTATGAGTCAATTGAACCTAGACTACTACCATGGAAAGCCTGGAAGCACCTGACAACCGTTTCATTCTGAGTTCGAATCTCTCGAGGCGGAATCGTTGATGCATACTGCTGAGGACTCCCATACTACAATGAAACGGTCATCCAGTGCTTCCAGGTTTTTCTTGATGGTCTAACTTCAATTGAGTCATAAATTCAATTACATTAAATTACTACAATTTCCACAAAACTCTTGTCGGATTACATTATCTTTACTCCTTTTTCTTCTCAGTAAAGATCATGCACATAGTACAAATTAATTTATTATTATTTTTTCAATATTATTCAGCTGTACTACTTGTATATGATATATGCAAAATGGATTCATTTAGTAATATAAAAGTAAGTCACTACTGTTATTTATAGTTATCAGTTTATTCAAGTTTTAATGAAAGGAATCATTTAATGGTTGTACATAACAAAAGGTTTATTAAATTAAGTAACTTTATTTGGTGAAGACTTTGATAAAATCTAACAGTAGAATCCAGGACTCCGGTTTCGTCCTAGTTGGGACTCGTCAGCTGAATGTACCTGCATCTCAGAGTTGATCTTCACTCAGGTTAGGGACTTGAATCCATTAACGTTCGGTTTAAACGCCATCGCGTTATCTTCTTTAAGCTACCGAATCCTTTGATAAAATCTAGTATCATTTAATTTCTTTGAGTTTCGGACATATTATTCTTCTTCAAGGTACAAAATTTTGCTTTGAGACAGTCTTAGCTACTGATAAGGAGTGAATTAGTTAAGCTCATCGACCAATTCACTTTCATTGGAAATCTTATCAACCATGGTTGGTTGATGTCCGACAAAACCTCAGTACGAATTTGGTTGAATGTTGACAAATTATGTCATTTACGGAATAGATAAAAGGTTCTTATTCTAACTAGAAGAAGAATTACACTGCTAACGAGCTCGTTCAGTCTCACTTTATGATTGAAAAGTGGCCTTCAGCATTTGAGGTTATTCGTAAGTTACTATTACTTGGCCTTAGGTGTCTTAGAAGGTTTGTCTGTATGTGTTGGGTTGACTGAGTGATTGCTTGTGGGATAACTTATAATATATGACAACTAGGTTAAGAAAATAAATCTTCATTTACTGAACTGGCTAAGATATTTATTACTTATCCTTAACCCCGACCTAATTTCGAAGAGAGACATTCACTGTAGCACTTAAGAACAAAGCTAGGGGCTATCAAACCCAAAGTACAGCATTAGTCCAGGAAGTCGTTGACTTTTGGATTGAGTAATATTGTTAGGTGAAAAGATCCTAATTTTCGTATGGTTGATTATCGTGATGAATCCTTAGAAACATTGGGTGACATATTTCAAAATCAATCACAATGATGTTGATGTTTTCACTTTTTGTCTTTCCGCAGTTCTTTGTACATCTTTTATATATGAAATAACATACTAATCCTAATAAGTATTAATTGTGGCAGTTGAATTCATGAGTCAATCTAAATTGGACCACTATTGGATGGTCATTTCATCCTAATATGGTATTCGTCAGTAGTGAGCTCAATGGTCTAGAGCTTAAGTATTCGCGCGCGAGATCGAAGGTCATTTGTTCGGGTCCCGTGTGTGGGCTTGGCCTAGTTTAGATCAATTCATGTATTCAACTATTAAACTTATTACAATCTACACAAATCCTTATTCTGATATTCTAGCTTCAATGCATGTTATTATGTTTCTTTACTTCATTTCAATGTTTTATTCACAATCAGTTTCTCAAATAAAATGTTTTATATGATCACATCGAAACATATTGCAGTCAGCTAACATGGGATTGAATTGGTTTTTTATTTTAACAGTGAATTTATTTAAGCAAAGATGGATAGTGACTAGCAGTGGAATCCAGGACACGCGTTTCATCCTGTTTGAGACTCGTCAGCTGAATGTATCTGCATTTATTTGTTCCTGTTATATCCATTTTGCCTCTAGTATATCCACAGTACTACTACTTATACTATATTTTCGATGACACAAAATGATAGTTTAGAATCCTGCTCTAAAAAAATAAAGATCTTTTATCTTTCTGAAAGTACTTCTTTGAAATAATTCATTCCAAATAGTTTGATAGTTTGATCATGAAGCATTCATTGTTCTTTTGAATGACATCATCAGCACCTAAGTTTGTGCTGATGATGTCGTTCAAAAGAACAATGAATGCTCCACATGATTAAATCATCCAGCTCAGAGAACAAAACTCCATTAAAATCATCCATTTGAGCCAAAAATCTTCTCCACTATGTTAAACACTCATTTGAGTTGCATCAGAAATGAGAACAGTACCTTTCTTTTTGGAAACAATAATTTTATCGGGATTGTTTATATCGAATAATAACAAAAAAGTGATAACCATTGTATGATTTTAGTTATAACCACTACTATTAGACTGAAAGAATTCATTTACTATGTATCTGAAAATTCTTGTTTTAATCCAATTCACTGGGTAACTAAAGATTATATAACCGATTTCAAATTATGTACTCACAGATTAGAGTATTATGAAATATCACTATGGGTTTGTGTACATTGTTAAGTTTACTTGATTGAGATCATGAATTGATAGATGATAAACCACCATCGAAAATCCGGAATCACTGGGCGGATGTTTCGTCCTAGTATAAGACTCCTCAGTAGTTCTCATCCACGATCCCATAAGCGGAATTCGAACCTCCAAACCTCTGAGATGGCACCCAACAGTATGAAGTCTGTTTAATAAATAACCAACCTGAGGTTAAAATACTTTTTGGTTTAACTGTAGAGTAAATCAGTTTTAACTACTTCAAAGTATACCGTATTTGTGCTGATATACTTTTAACATGTATTTACTGTCAGGAGTTTTGTGGAGATTTTAGTAATGTTAATAGTTGAAATCATGAGTCAATTGAAGCTAGGTCACTATGGAAAACCTCGAAGCACTGGACAGCCGTTTCATCCCAGTATGAGACTCCTCAGTAGTGCTCATTCACGATCCCGCTCTCCGCGGGTTTCGAACGCAGGACCCATCAGTCTTGCGCGCGAGCGCTTAAACATTAGACCAATGAGTCGGCATCCAACGGTGTTAATGTCTAACCTTATTGTTCGAAAATTTCCCAGAAATTCTCAGATATCATGCTTTTCTATGAAATATCATTTTACATTTTATGATTTATACATCGTTCAAGTGTTAATCTCACTTGATTGATCATTCTAGGGAACAAGAAGAATTTACAATTGACTAAGTTTGATGTGTACGAATGATAACCTAGTGTAATGATTGTAGTTAAAAACTATGCAGCTTTAGTTAATCATCAACAGCATATAGGCATCCAACCACGGTCAAATTAACGGAACTTTGATCGTTCAATTCACGTATTCGTTAGATTGACACTGTAAGTTCTTCTTCTTCTTCTTCCTTAACAACTCCTATGAGACTGAGTCCATGTTTCCCAAGCATCTCACTTCTGCCAAATATATATATATATATATATATATATATATATATATATATATATATATATGCATTTATTAGTATAGGGGATTTGTGGGGGTTGTAGTATTTTGCACTTCAGAATCACGGACTGATCATAGCCAAACCAACATTGAAAACCTCGTTTTAGTGTGGGAATTCTCAGCAGTGTGTGCGCTTGACTACGCAAGCAAGAACGTTTTTTGACTTCAACAATGAAAATACTATAATCTCCACAAGTTCCTTATACTAATAACAACCATATGCTCACTAGTAAGAAACCGTAACTAGTGGAGTTCAATACATGTTTGATATGAAATAGTTGTTCACTGCAAGGAATCTTTGAAGGGTTGAGTAAGATAATGGATTGATTGAATTTAGATATTAACACCAATGAATGCCAGCTTACTGGTCTAGAGATTAAACTTTGGCGCACAAAATCGAAATTTCTGCATCCGATTCCCGATTTCATGGTTGTCCATACACATTTCTGATAAGTCTCATACCGAAATCTGATTTCTAACCTTAACCATCAACTATAAATCATAATTTAGATACTTTACACTGATTTGTAACATTCATTTAGTCCTAGTTATTCATTGGACACTCTCAAGATCAATCTAACGTTTCATAAATTATCATCTCACCTTGATGTCTTCGATAAGATTTAAATCGACCTCATGTAAAACTGAATTCACAGTCATTCTCATCGATCTATATAGTTACCAAGCTTATGAAACTGAAGGTCCCAATTTGAATAAGTTCACTTCAAAGCCTATAAATTTATTCATATACATCGAAAGAAATAATTTATTGCTTTTTAAAATTGTTAAATGTCACGTTTTATTCTTTGAAATTAGTTTCTTTTTTTTGTTGTTTTTTTCTGCAAAAGAACAAAAAGTGTAAACCGTTATGGAGAAAATTTTTTTATTCTTTGTCTCTGTGTGTGTGTCTCCTACTCCCCCCCACTCTCTCTCTCTCTCTTTCATTGTTTTTCCCTATAAAATGGGTTATTCCATAAATAATACAGTGGAATTGTCAAATGAGTTATGAAGACATGGCGGCAAGTCTAGAATTGATGAATGAACCAATTAGATTTAAGATAATGGTTTTTTTTCTATTTTGGCGCGAAATTCATTCATTCATTTAGATAAATAGAGTTTTGGCATTATAGTTCAGGTCAGTTGATGATAAAAATTCTAAATCTAATTTCTTACACAGATTTCTAAACCTTATTTGATCGTAATCATTAGGTGAAGACTCTCAAGGTTAGCCTGGTATTGCCCAAAAAATCATCCATAAATTATAGTCTCACAGAAATAACACTTCAGCAATTAAATTAATCTTTAAAATATATACTCAAATAAATGATTTTAGTTTCATTCGAATAATTAATAGAGAGAGAGAGGGAAAGATACTGATGACGATGAGTTTGAATGTGAACATTAACACTAATCGGCATGTATATTTATTTACTTACTTAATGTTATATTCGGTCGTCGCTGATTGCTGTGCCAGAAAAACTCTGATCACTTATACTCGGAATGAGGGACCTCTGCAATTTCCACGATGCGAAAGTAAGAACACAAAGACTAGTATACTTACTTATTTACATACACCTGTTACTCCTAATGGAACATAGGCCGCCAACCAGCATTCTCCAACCCACTCTGTCCTGGGCCTTCCTTTCTAATTCCATCCAATTCTTGTTCATTTTTCTCATGTCTATTTCCGTTTCCCAGCGTAATTTGTTCTTTGGTCTTCCTCTTGTCCTTTGGCCCTGAGGATTCCATGTAAGGGCTTGTCTTATGATGCAGTTGGGCGCTTTCCTCAATGTGTGTCCTATCCACTTCCAACGCTTCTTCCTGATTTCTTTCTCTGCTGGGATC